CAAAATATAATGAGTAACTTCAAATGATAATAATCTCTATAGTGGCGAATATCTAAAAAAATATTTAAAAAAAAGAAAAAGAAAAAAAAGCTTTAATAACATGTTCCTTTTTTATAGTGTATTTTAGCAATTTTTTTTTGTATCATGCTCTTTTTTTAGATATTATTTCAATTTAAGAAGAAAAAAAAAAAAAACATGAAAATAACCAAACCGTCACATTCTATCCTTTGCACATTTAGTTACATTTTTTCCTTTCAAAGGGCAACACATAAAAACGAGAAATGCTAAGATCCCGTAACCAAACCGTCACATTCTATCCTTTGCACATTTAGTTATATTTTTTTTTTTCAAAGGGCAACACATAAAAACGAGAAATGCTAAGGTCTCGTTACGAAACTATTTCGTCGGGTTTTGAAACCGTTAGATCATCATGTAACCGTCAGAGATAGTTGATCTAACGGTTACAAACTCCGATGCCCGATGGAATGGTTCCGCAACAGAACCATGCATCTTCCCATAAAAACAACTGTAAACTACTAGGTAATAATTATATCACAGCCCTACTATATACCTTAATTTGTATATACAAAACCAAATTGCTAATTACTAATTCAAAGAAAATTCTATTAAAAAAAAAAAAGAACTTCAACATTAGTAAACAATGGCTTAGTTTGGTTGTGCTAAGTAATGATTAATTCACAACCATCAATATATTTTAATTTGCATATATATATAAAACCAAATTGGTAATTGCTAATTCAAAGATAATATTATTAATGTTTTTTAAAATAAAAACATAAACAATAAAAAAAAAATTGACTTACTTTGGTTGTGCTAGGAAGCAAGCTTCTAAGCCTGGCCAAATGGTTATTTATCCTCTCTCTTCGCCTCCTCTCGGCCTCACTGTGGCTTCTAGAAGCTGCCAGGGCCTTCGCATCCATAATCTCTTGGGCCGTCTGAAGCCCAAATGGGCCCGACCCGCTCGGTTGCACCACCTGGCCCAGCGACTCGGAAATCAGCTGGCTCAGCTGATTATTGTCCGACCCGGCCGGCCCGAGCAGGCTTCCGTAGGGCATGGGAAACGGGCCGGGCTCGTGGGTTGGGAAATGGGCCGGGCTGAAGCTGTGGGATTGGTATGGTAGGGCCCACGGCTCCGGTAGGGTTAGGGCGGACCCTCCGAAGTCGTAGTATCCGAAAAACGACTCTGCGGTCATGTTCGGGTGCTGCATCTGGTTGAATTTATAATTTATTTTTATTTTTTTTTAAATAATAATTTATTATTTCTTGATAATAATTTTTGGTAAAAACCCTAGATCTTGGCAAATTTTCTTGAAATGTATTTTTTTTTTCTTGAAATGTATTTTTTTTTCTTGATTTATTATGTATTCTTGCCAAATTTCAATTTTTAGGCTTGTTCATCATATATATGTAATGAAAGGCCCAAAATAGTTGACACAATATATTTATTTAC